AATAAGGTAACAAGAGACCAAAGAACTTCATCGCTACCCTAGATGCATTCAAGACGCTTTGAACAGAGGTCTGACCAATTGTGTTTATTGGCAGAGGTAGGAGGAAAAAGAGCTGCCTCTTGACTGTATCCTACTGAATTCATCTCATTCAACAAACAAGTTACACAAATACATACAATAATGTCAGCTGTATAACACTTGAGTATCACATGTACACCTCTCAAATGTGCACACGGTGCATTTATAATCCCTAATTATCGGGAGGGGGAATTGTTGCTGATTTTGAAACTACAACTAGCAAGAGGGAAATAAGGGAGCACATGGTGACTGAAGAGGTTCAACCTGAATTACCTCATTCCTTACCTCAATCCCTGAAGTTTCTCCTACTCCATCAATCTTCTCTGAGACTGACAGACCAGGTCTTCGGCATTTAGCATCTCGCTTCCTGAGTCACGGCTTAGTCACTCTCCCACTCCTGGCAAGCTCCTCCCTGTGCGAGTTTCTGTTAAGCTCCTATCCTGAAGGGTATGTTCAAGCCCAGAAGCCTAACCAGACTGATGCTGCTAGCTGTCAACTCGCCCTGGCTACAGGCCTCAGGAACAGGGGGATCTTGATGCTGAACCACAAGCTAGATTCTGCCCTTGCGATTCACCCTTCTTTACCAGATCAACTAGCAAGGGCCAGAGTTAATCAGGATGTTGTTGCCTCCGCTCACTCTATCACACGTTCCCTGAAGAAGACAGCGAGGATTATCTTTTTTGGATAAAAATAAGGAAGGGAATAAGGAGGGAGAAAGGGCCCGTCGCGTGAACGGCAAATCTCTGGACCACGAGGACTGAACGAGATCTCACTTGGCACTTTGGGCTCCACCCGCAGGCTCAGAGCCCTGGCAGGAATGTTTTATACGCATGTGGCCTTCCTGCCAAGTCTGACAAATATTCCTAAGGCTAAAGTGTGTTAAAACACAGGAAGAGATCGTGGGTTCATTCCTGCAGAAAGACCTCAGAGAGCTGAGTGCACCAGGCGCTATGAGGAGACTCCAGATCTCCCCTTCCCTGTCCCCTGCCCTGCAGGATGGGGTTCGGGCACGAGCAAAGAGGAGGGGTCTGTACGTGGCTTTTCAGCACCCACAGAGAGAAGCCGCTCTCCACAGGCCAGGAGGCAAGTTGCCACAAACCCAGATGAGCCTCTTGCAGCAATGCGTGCTCTCTTCCCAAAGTGAACCACAGAGGTCCTACCCTCCAGTTTCAGCAAGTGAAGGCGGGGCTTCTGAGAATCTCTCATTCACAGCTTGGAGAACTTGCATGGCTGAAGCGCATGCTGTATTCACTCACATGAAACTGCAAACTAGGCCTATAGAGAACAGGGCAATTGATTTCTAAACGCGTAGGAAGAGAGAAAATATACGAAAGTCATCCTCAGCATTCCCGCATCTAGGAAGCCATTAAAATAGTCACATCCTGGAGTCTCCAGAGTGTGAGTTTCCATCAGGTTTCACCACACCTTTCGGCCTCTTTATTTACCCCATGAGGTATTAAAGAATTCACAAAACAGATTTACAATTAATTTTATTTCAAATGAATATATAGCAGATCGCATTTGGTGAGTCAGAGAGGAAATCTGAAATAAAATAAAAATAGAATGTGGTGATCTAAAAAATAGTGCAACTCATAGCTCTCCAGACAAAACTGGCATCTTAAATGGACACAGAGCAGAACAGTGCATCACTGTCCTTTTTGAACGTCATAGATGTTTGTAATTCTTCGTTTGGGGTTTTAACCTCGATTCATATTAAATTTCAAAAGCACAGTCTCAGTTCACGATCCAGTTTGATTTACCTTCTCCTACGTGCTTGGCACTGAGCTAGGCACTAGTGAGACAGAGGAGAATCACACACATCTGCCCAGAAAGAGTCGAGAAGTTGACATTCTTGCTCTTTTGCTCTCCAAAAGAAATAATGCACCAAGTTAGTGCAGCAAACATTTTAGAGAGCTGACTGTAAGGTCCTGTGCGAGGCCCCAAGAAACCCCCAAATAATGCCAGGCCACAAGTGGCTTTTTAAAGCCACAGTACATATTGACTCTGTAACACGGAATGTTCATCTGGGTAGATTTATTTCCCTAATTATGTTTTGTTTGTGCTAATATTAAAATGAGCCTGTATTCCCTGATCATCTTCAGAGGAAGAAGTGCTTTAGAAGCATGCTGGGCAACAAGATAAAAAAGGATTGAAGATGCCCAAGCCAAGAAACATGGCTCCTCTGTCCCGCTCTCTTTTCCTTCCTCTCCATGCTTTGTTTTCTTTCTTCCTTCCTTCCTTCCTTTCCTTCCCTTTTTTTTTTGGAGGAATTATATGTGACTCCTTCGGAATATGAAAAATGTTTATAGTCATCTTCATAAAGTCATGGGAGGAAAAAGAAAACATTTTAATTTATTGAGCCCCTGCTAAGGGCTAGATATTGTACTGTTTCATAAGTTATCTCTTTTAATCCTCCCTAGAGCCCTGTGAAGAAGGCATTGTTATCATCAGTTTAGAGACGAGGACATTGAAGTACGAAAGTATTTACATAACTAATAAAAGATTGAACCAGAATTTGAATACGGTCCACCAACGTTAAGACCTATTTCTTTCTATTGTCCAGTTCACGCTAACCTTTTTTTTTTTTTTTTTAAGATTTTTTTGATGTGGACCATTCAAAAGTCTTTACTGAATTTGTAACAATACGGCTTCTTTTTTATGTTTTGGTTTTTCAGCCACGAGGCATGTGGGATCTTAGCTCCCCAACCAGGGATCAAACCCACACCCCCTGCATTGGAAGGCGAAGTCTTAACCACTGGACTGCCAGGGAAGTCTCCATTCTAATCTTTAATATCCCAATTTACCAACAGCCCAATAGAGAAATGGGCAAAGGAGAGGACCAACAGTTTGCAGAAAAGGGCCTTAAACATATATTTTTTTAGATGTTCGATTATACTCGTAATAAGAGGAATGCAAATTACAGCTTCACCCACCACCATGGCAAAGCTAAAGAACACCTGGTATCACACTGTAGTGGTGAGTATGGGGGAAACAGCTTGCCCTTACATTGCTGGTGAGAGTGAAGACTGACATAACTGCTCTGAAGGGCACTTGGGTAAAATTCCTATCAAATTCCTCTTCTGTGACTTCTTCCTCAGGTATACTTGCATTTGCAAGAAATGAGATATTCACAAGATTATTCACTGCAACATTGTCTATAATAGCAACAGATTGAAACAATCTGATGTTCATTAATGGGAGACATAAATTATGTTCATCCATACAAAGAATTATTTACAACCATAAAAATGAGGGGGCTTCCCTGGTGGCTCAGTGGTTGAGAGTCCGCCTGCTGATGCAGGGGACACGGGTTCGTGCCCCGGTCCGGGAAGATCCCACATGCCGCAGAGCGGCTGGGCCCGTGAGCCATGGCCGCTGAGCCTGCGCGTCCGGAGCCTGTGCTCCGCAACGGGAGAGGCCACAACAGTGAGAGGCCCGCGTACCACCAGAAAAAAAAAAAAGAGAGAGAATTATTGTGGATATAATTTGCTAAGTTAAAAAAGGAAGATGAGAACAGCAAGTGCTATGTGCTTCAATTTGTGTGAAGGGGGAAATATATACAAGTTTTGGTATATAACTAGACTATTAAGAAATTAGTAGCACTGGTGGCCTCCAGACAGGCATGGGATGGTGAGACTGGGGAGGACAGGAGAATTATTGCTATACACCCTTTGTGTCATTTGAATTTTGAACCATGTTAATACAAAACCTATTTTTTTAAGTAAAACTTATTTTTTTAAGTATATTTTAAGTAAAAAGCTAAAAAGCACACCAATTAATTGCCTTTCATATTTAACTACTGCATAATAGAAGAGGGCAATGATACTTTACTGGGTTAAACCTGAAAGTTGTTTAAAACTGAAACAAAATCACCACCAGCTTGCTTTCTCTTTGGCGATTCCTGCTGTTGGAATTACTTCTTCCTTAAATTGTTGTTTAAGCCTATGACTTAAACTCTTTAGTTGTCTTCCTTCTCCTTATAACAATAATATAACAAAGATGAGAACAATTTATGGAAGGACTGCTATTTGTAAAACTCTTGAGTTTAGAGCTGTGGTTGTATTGTTTAATCTTCCTGATAATCTTATACAGTGGGACTATCAACCTCATTTAAAAAAACTGAACTATAGTTGATTCACAATATTATGTTAGTTTCAGGCATCCAACCCCATTTTTAAAATAAATAAATAAATTTATTTAATTTTTGGCTGTGTTAGGTCTGCGTTGCTGCGCACGGGCTTCTCTAGTTGCGGCGAGCGGGGGCTACTCTAAGTTGCGGTGCACGGGCTTCTCATTGCGGTGGCTTCTCTTGTTGTGGAGCACGGGCTCTAGGCCTGCAGGCTTCAGTAGTTGTGGCTCACGGGCTCTAGAGCACAGGCTCAGTAGTTGTGGCGCACGGGCTTTAGTTGCTCTGCGGCACGTGGGATCTTCCTGGACCAGGGCTTGAACCTGTGTCACCTGCATTAGCAGGTGGATTCTTAACCACAGTGCCACCAGGGAAGCCTGAACCCCATTTTAAAGGTGAGAAAATAGAAACTTAGACAAATTAGTATTTTCTATTTTAATTGATTTCTAGATACTATGGAGCAACTGTTTTCTAATGTGTATGGCTTTGAGAAGAGAAATTTAAAAAAAGAAAAGGCCTTTGAAAGTCCATCATGCCACCCAGAAAACGAAGATGCTGACACACAATTTATTGCACAGAGATTACTCTATTTACTCCACAGAGACACTTCTCACATTCAGGTGCTATTCAGAAAAAAATAGCCCATGTGTTATATAAGAGATTCTAATATTTTAAAGGAAGAAAATTCCTGTATAGCGATGGTACCTCCTCTTTCCATTCCTTTCCATTTCTCAGCTGCAGTGCGTACAAAGCAAATGCTCTGTTTTGACACAAGAGAACCAATTTTTTTTTTTTCTCACCAGACAATGATAAAAATCACATAGTCTCTCCCTTCACCAGCCCTTGGCACTAGCCTCAAGCATCTTCTCACAAGTTAGGATAGAGTCCAGGATAAAAGCCTGACATACTAAAAGGTGTATCAGAAACTCTCCACTAAAATATACTTGATATTTTATTATTGAAGTAAAGACAACAAAATAAACCATTCAGCCTTGGGCTTTTCCCCCGTCACCGTGTAGGAGGCTTGAACTGATGTTATGGTGCTTACAAAAAACGCTTACAAGAAGGACCTTTGATTCCCTTTGCCCCAGCTGACATCCTAATCAGCCTGTGTTCTCCAGCCCCCTCTCTCTCAGCCATGAAGGGAGTCACAGCTCACTAAGGAGCTCCCAAGAGAAGGGGCACTGTTTCTCGTTCCAAAATGAAGGAGGCTGAAAGCAGTGTGCCCATAAAGTTGCCATTTGGGCTCTTAGTGGGTTTTCATTGCACTGTGAGGACAGCACCTGAATTCTGACTTCTTGATGATAAAATCTCCTTGTTGATCTTGGTGAGCTGGAGTGACTGAACTGTTACTCCAAGGGTAGAAGATGGCATGTGGGCACAGGATAAGGACATCATGAAAATCATTTTATCTCTCCTTTGGCTTCTGGTGGATACGGACTTTGTTTATTGCTTCCACATGATTCAATACAGTAGGACCTATTATATTTGTCCCCTATTTATGGCAAGGAATTGTCCTAGGCACGGAGGACACAGGCAAATACAAAACTAAGACCTGCCCTCTAGGAGTTTGATATTCTACTGGAGGATACAAAAAATACACAAGTCAGGTAATTGATGTATGACACGACAGACAAAAAAACAACTGAATAAGGAAGTGGAAACCAACAAGGGGTGTGTTTTCATTAGGATGGCAAGGGATGGAGTCTGAGGAGTGGCCACTTCCGAAGAGAACTGCATGAAGTCTGTGGCTCCCCAGGAGAAGGGTCCAGTACAGAGGGAACAGCAAGGCCAAGGCCCTGAGATGGAAGTGGGTTTCACAGGAACAGTGGAGGCCTGTACAAGAAAGGAAGGAAGCAAAGGGGAGAGTAGAAGAAAAAGGGGTCAGAAAAATTGCGGAGATCCTTGAAGGGCCTCGTGGGTCATAAGGACTTTGGACACTGGGAAGCCATTGACAAGTTTTGAGCAGGTGAGCTCCATGATCTGATTTACATTTTTATTTTTATTTATTTATTTTTTTTTGCAGTACACTCACTGTTGTGGCCTTTCCCATTGCGGAGCACAGGCTCTGGATGCGCAGGCTCAGCGGCCATGGCTCACGGGCCCAGCAGCTCCGCGGCATGTGGGATCTTCCCAGACCGGGGCACGAACCCGTGTCCCCTGCATCGGCAGGCGGACTCCCAGCCACTGCGCCACCAGGGAAGCCCTGATTTACATTTTAAAACGACATCTTTGGTGGCCAAAATACCAAAATGCCTATTGTATTTATAGACTAAAAACTGCGTGTAAAGCCTTTTCTGTTAATCCTACTCTTAAAGATGATATTCTGTGTGACCAGAGAAATCTTCCTTTGAAACAACAGAGGTCACCTTGGTGGTTACTTTTTCTGAACAGCACAGGTGAAATAATTATCACTGGGTAACAAAGAACCACTGTATGTACCCACGTGTAATTCTAGAAGTGGACCTCCCTCTCCTTCATTTAGTTATAATATCCACTAGACCAAGGCTATTTTTCTTTAATATAAACAAAAGTACATTTGAATAAAATTTTAATAAGTTGTAAAAAAATATTCTATGTGACCAAATATTTGGACTCATTCTGGACTTAGGCATTTCAATGTTCTTGGTTTTTTAATTTAACTCTTTTCACAGCCATGTTGAGAGTAAAAATAAATAATTTCTGTCTGTCTTCCATTTCAAGTATTTCTGGATAAGGGATTCAAAAAACTAAAACTGTTTTTGTTTATAACATAAAATATGGAATTGATCTTTCCAGGGTCAGAGATGATTAATGTTTTTACTTTTATACATTATTTTCTTAAACTAGTTCACATATAAACATTTTTATATGTTTGTAAGCAAATATGCTTTCACAGCATACCTTGTGTATGTGTAAAGATAAGTATTTAATTCTCACTGTTCACTTTTAACTGACAAAGAAAAAAAGTGAAAATGACAGAAACTGTGGTAGAACCTTACTTGCTGTTCTGGTCCCGGTTGTACCCGCCTTTGGCCAATCCCATAGCTATTCAAGAAATCTTCCCAACAGAGTACAACAGGATGAGAATCTGAAATCATTTCTGATATTCCCTACTAGATATTGATTGTTATATCAAGTAGTAAGTGGTAAAACTTTTAATTGACAATTAGTATAACTGTGGGTGGATTCTGATTTTGTTTTTAATTCTGTAGATTGTGTTTAAACAATTCAAAAGTATGTTCCTGATTTTGAGATACTAAGTGATAGTGCACAGTTGTCACTTTATTGAATGTGTACAACACTCCCATGAAGTTTATAAGTGTACCTTTGTATAGCTTCAGCTGCTAAAATTAAAATTGATCTGTTATGACACACACAATAAAGACATTTTTGGAATCTATCATTATCTCAAAATAAACAGTTTAAAAAATGCTATCACTGGCTGTTGGGTGGAGAATAGACCACAGGGGATGTAGGCAGACTCTTAGATGGCCCCCAATGACCCCCACCTTCAGTGTTCCTGCCCTTCTATAATGCCTCCCCTTGAGGACAGTCTGCTATCATGGACTCATGTGTAATGAATAGAATGACAGAAGTAATGGCATGACACTTCTGAGACTAGGCTACAAAAAGACTGTGGCTTCCATCTTGAGCATTCTCTCTTGCTTCCTCTCTCCCTCTCCATCTCTTAGATCACTCATCCTGGAGGAAGCCAGCTGCCATACTAATGAGCCACCTTATGGAGGGGTCCACACGAGGTGACAAGGAACAGAGGCCCACAGTCCAAAGCCCATGAGGAGCTGAAGCCTGTGACAGACATGTGAGTGATCTTGGAATTAGATCCTTCTGCCCCAGTCTTATGTTGACGTAATGGCAGCCCTGACCCACAGGTGGGCTGCAACTTCACGAGAGACTTTGAGCCAGAGGCACCCAGCTCAGTGGCAATTCCGATTCACAGAAATGGTGTAACAATGTATGATCATTGGTTTTGCCATTATGTTTTGGGATAATTTGTTACACAGCAATTGATGACTCATACAGGGGAAATAAGAGTAGAAGCAGAAAGACCAATTAAAGGCCATTGCTGTAATCAAGAGACAACTTAGAATAGGGTAGTAATGGTAGAAGTGGTGAGAAGTGGGCCTGGGCAGGACAAAGGAGATAAGAAAAGCAACAACGTGCTCTCTGTGACCTGGAGAAAGAAAGTGAAAAACTATGGCCCTGATTTCCACTCAGTGGAGAATAACCAGCAAGTCCCACAGTGGAGCTGCATGTTGGCATGACAGAGAGAATAACTCCGGAAGGATTTTGGCTCCTGTGGGAAGGCACGGGGACAAGAAGTCTGAGGACATGGCCTGACCTGAGCCTTGTCTAGCACCCTGTAGCAGGACTGAGAAGCTGATTCCAGGAGCTGGGAAAGGGAAAGGGACAGGATCTGGCATCAGTCTGAATTTACAAACCAAAGATGATTGCAACGGGTCCAGAACACCTCTGTTTGGTTGAAGTAATCAGAGAAACTCACCTGAATAAATATGTCAGTCCAAGTCCTATGATTAAAAATTGTAAAAAGCCATATTCTTTTTTTTTTTTTTTTTGCGGTACGTGGGCCTCTCACTGTTGTGGCCTCTCCCGTTGCGGAGCACAGGCTCCAGACGTGCAGGCTCAGCGGCCATGGCTCATGGGCCCAGCCACTCCGCGGCATGTGGGATCTTCCCGGACCGGGGCACGAACCCGTGTCCCCTGCGTCAGCAGGTGGACTCTCAACCACTGCGCCACCAGGGAAGCCCAAAAGCCATATTCTTAAGTGCTCCTCTATCAGGGCAGATCACCAGGTCCTGCACCTCCGGGACAAAGAGGCAGGCTGTTACCAGCCATGCAGACATTGGCCCTGGAGGCAGTTATCCTAATGGTTAAGACTATGGGTCTTGGGGCTTCCCTGGTGGTGCAGTGGTTAAGAATCCGCCTACCAATGCAGGGGACATGGGTTCGATCCCTGGTCTGGGGCGATCCCACATGCCGAGAAGCAGCTAAGCCCGTGCACCACAACTACTGAGCCTGCGCTCTAGAGTCCATGAGCCACAACTACTGAGCCCACGTGCCACAACTACTGAAGCCCGCACACCGCAACAAAGAGTAGCCGCCGCTCGCCGCAACTAGAGAAAGCCTGCGCGCAGCAACGAAGACCCAACGCAGCCAAAAATAAGTAATAAAATAAAAAGTTTTTTTAAAAAGCTTCATATCTATTAAAAAAAAAAAGACCATGGGTTTTGATGTGAGGAAGGCTGAGGTGGAATTCCAGCTCCTCTCTTGCCGTGTGACCTCAGCAAACATTTAAATTCCTACAAGCTTCTGCTTTCTTGACTGCAAAATAAGGATACTAAAGGCACTTACCCCTATTACCTTTAGTACAACAATGAATGGTTGGAAGGATTGGATAAGATAGAGTATGTATTTTTCTTAGCACAGTGCCTGGCACATAGTAAGTTCTCGGTAAATAAGCATTGAGCTGCCACGATGTGAATTGTCACCTGCTGCTGCTGTTCTAAGTCCCTGGAGGAACACACAGGGTGACTGAAGGAGGTGGCAGTGCCCTTTATCTTAAAGCAAAGCTGTACTGCTATGTCTGACATTAAAAACAGGAAGGTACACACATCCCTGTATAGCTATTCTAGGAAAATCTTGATCAAAAGCCCACTTTACCCCATCAGTGAACACAGCTGCTGGTTCCCTCTGCCCTCTTCTCACTCTTGATAAGCGAGCTTTTAACACGCCTTAAAGGCAAGTCCTGCTGCCGAAATGAAGGCGGCCCAAATGGGGACAGGGCGGATTCATGGAGAGTGTCACTCTTTTCAAGCAGCCCTGTGCACACTGTGTCATCACATCTGCCCCTGACATTCACTGGCCACTTTGTGACTCACTGATGTACAAAGAGACAACCCACCGAATAAGCAGGTCAGGAGGGTCACTGGAGGACAAAAGGCCCACCAAGGCACTCACAAGGCATAGGCTAAGCTCGGGGTCTGTGTGTCATGTCATAGCTGCGAGGGATACTCCTGCCCAGATGGCATACCCCATGCCTGGGCATTCAGGGTCCTGTCACTAAGAGCTAACACGTGACACTGAAGGCAAGACAGACTCAGCAGCTGCTATGTTCAGACACAAAAATCATCACAACCTAAAGCCACCAGCACAAACTCTGCTGGAAAGAGTGGTCACCGTCATGGATGATAACACCACGCCATGAATACGGAGAACAACGTTATCAACAACCCAACAAACATATGCAAGTATACACAAAGGTACATCAAACGTTATAACCAAAAACTGAATACTAACATTAGTAACAGGAAAGAACAAAACGTTTGTCTTATGAATACATCTCACCTCAAAGTCCGCTGTTTAGTGCAAGATATCCACCTGAAGCCAAGAAAATGTCATCATTTTCTCAGCTTGGCTTCCTGTTCTAAAATGAAAGACTTCAGAAATCCAGACATACTTATAAATCTAAATGCTTTTCATTTAGATCTATAATTAAGCCATAACCCCCTGCTAACACACATAAACAATTCATATTTGGAAATAAAAGTATCAAAACTTATACAATATACAAATTTTCTTAATATTCTTCCCCACAGTGGATCTTTGCCAGCATTCTGTCATTTCTAATCTATAGCGTCAGATTGACAGTTAAATCCAGCAAGAGCTAATGATTGTGACAGGGGAAAGTAATCAGCACATCCATTCATTAGCAACCTGCTCACACATTCATTGTCAATTATAAATATTTGCTTGGGCTAAACTCTGCCATCATCATAGGAGCCATTACCACCTGTAACCACGTGATACATTTGAAG